CCATCCTGCATATCAGATATTTACATTACGATTCATAACAGTAGCGACATTACAGTTATGAAGTAGCAACAAAAATAATTTTATGGTTGGGTCATAACATGAGGAACTGTATTTAAAGGGCCAGAAGGTTGAGAACCACTGGTTTAGGGGAAGGACACCCAGTCATTCTGCCGCACAGTCAAAACTGGGAGGCCAGGCGGCCACTCACCTCCTGCCCACATGTCGAAGGCCCGGGCCTCGATGAGCTCACCGCTGACCCCTGGATCAACAGGAAGGATGGGGTCTTCCTGGGCAAGCCACCAGGGCAAACCCACCCTACCACCTCGGTCCTCCCAGACTAGGCTTGGTCACTGGGTGCAACCCTTCTAGAACCTTTTCAAATATCCCCCCATATCAGCCTGGCTGGTGTGGCTCAGTGGTTGAATGTTGACCCATGAACCAGGAGGTCATGGTTTGATTTAGATTCTTGGTCAGGGCACATGCCCGGGTTGTGGGCTCGATCCCCAGTAGGAGGCGTGCAGGAGGCAGCCGATCGATGATGTTTCTCTCTCTATATCCCTCTCCCTTTCTATCTCTCTCAAAAATCAATAAAGGGAAACACTTTTTTAAAAAAGCAAAAAATATATATATCCCCCCATATTCCTGCCAACTATGCCCCTTATTCAGACAGCAGCAGCCCATCCAAGGCTGCAGAGCTTCTGCCTGGCATTTGAGGCCCTCCAGGTGCGCCCTTCAAATTCCTGAAAACTCCTAATTCTTTCCTACTATCATCCTTTTAAAAAATAAATACATATATTTTTTTCTTGATTTCAGAGAGGGAGAGAGAGATAGAAACATCAATGATGAGAGAGAATCCATGATCAGCTGCCTCCTGCGTGCCCCCCACTGGGGATCGATTCGGCAACCAGGGCATGTGCCCTGACCGGGAATCGAAATCGAGCCGTGATCTCCTGGTTCATGGGTTGACTACTCAACCTCTGAGCCACACCGGCAGGGCTCTACTGCCACCATGCTTTTGTTCATTGAGTCACTTCTGTGGACCCTTCAGCTAGCACAAACCCCTTCCCCGCCTCCTTGGGAATTCTGAGGGGAGGGGATGGGAGGGAAGGGGAGGGGGTGGGGAAGGTCAGAGCACAGCAAGGTTCCACTTTCCTCAATCAAACTCTGACCCCACATCAGAGGGAACTTACCATTCACCAGGGCAATGTTCAGTCCTCGACCCACGTTGTCCTTCACACTGCTCATGAGCCTAGCAAGGGACAGCCCTCAAGTGGCACGTCTGCTCCACTCTCCTGACCTTGCAGGCCCAGCTCCCGATCACCCATTCCCTCCCCCGCCCCCGTCCCACCCCTACACCCCAAGGAACTCACATCTTGTCCTCCAGGCAGATCTTGGGTCCGATGACATTGGCAGCCCCGCTGACCATGCGGAAGGCCAGGTGCTCCTCAGGACATGGCTGGGGCAGGCCGCACTTGTACTTCCTGGCCCGCGGCTCTGGGCAGGGACAGTAGGGGTGACCCATGGGCCTGGCCCTGGGTCATCCGAAGTCTGAGAGAGGGAGGTCAGGACCGGCCCATAGGGAGGAATGACTGATGACTGAGCAGGGGGCCAGGACATGGCTCAGGCCAGGAACACCTCCAGACATTCTGTATCCCCTGGGCCGCAGGCAAGGTGATAGGGACCCCTAGGGAGGCTTTTCTGCCACTGATCGGAGAAGAGAAAGGAGTAGCAGCTGGGAGGGCAAATGTACAGATGCACGTACGGTCAGAACAGACTGAAGGAGAGCAGTAACTGAGAGAGCAGCGTGGCTCACTGGTTGAGCGTCAACCTATGAACCAGGGGGTCATGATTTGATTCCTGGTCAGGACCCATGCCCTGGTTTAGGGCTCGATCCCCAATGTGGGGCGTGCAGGAGGCAGCCTATCAATGATTCTCTCTCATCTGATTTTCTATCTCTCTCTCCCTCTCCCTTCTCTGAAATCAATAAAAATATGTTTTTTGAACAAAGAGAAAGAAAGCACTTGATTCCCATGGGGCAGAGGTGGAAGGACAGAAGGACAACCTCTGTCACAGGCTGTATTGTGTCCCCATAAAAGATATTTTAAAAATATATTTTTAATAAAGCAGCAGAATATTAACAAAAGGTGAAGCTGGGTACAATATTCTTTGTCCTATTTTTTCCAATTTTCTATAGATTTGAAATTATTTCCAAGTCAATGAGTAAGAATAATTTTTTAAAGAATGTGTGCAGCCGAAACCGGTTTGGCTCAGTGGATAGAGCGTCGGCCTGCGGACTGAAAGGTCCCAGGTTCGATTCCGGTCAAGGGCATGTACCTTGGTTGTGGGCATATTCCCAGTAGAAGATGTGCAGGAGGCAGCTGATCGATGTTTCTCTCTCGTCGATGTTTCTAACTCTCTATCTCTCCCTTCCTCTCTGTAAAAAATCAATAAAATATATTTTAAAAAAAAGAATGTGTGCAATCATTTTATTAAACTGGTAATTTTCCTGGATTGATTTTATACCTTGCCAATAAACACATTTATGTCCTCCCCCCCCCAAAAAAAAATTGGTTTTTTATTGATTTCACAGAGAAAAGGAGAGTGTGAGAGAAATATCAGTGATGTGCCCTAGCTGGTTTGGCTCACTGGATAGAGCGTTGGCCTGGGGACTGAAGGGTCCCAGGTTCAATTCTGGTCAAGGGCATGTATCTTGGTTGCAGGCACATCCCCAGTAGCGGGTGTGCAGGAGGCAGCTGATCGATGCTTCTCTCTCATCGATGTTTCTAACTCTCTATCCCTCTCCCTTCCTCTCTGTAAAAAATCAATAAAAATATATTTTAAAAAAAGAAATATCAATGATGAGAGAGAATCATTGATCGGCTGCCTCCTGCAGGTCCCCTACTGGGAATGGAGCCCTGACCAGGAATCTAACTGTGACCTCCTGGTTCATAGGTCGATGCTCAACCACTGAACCACACCGGCCAGGCTGGAATGGGAATTTCTATCCTATGCCTATCCCACCAGTGTATTCTGGAAGCAGGGAACTTGTTTCCTAGGTTCATGGCATGCAAGCAGCTCAGCGGGTTGTATTGGCCAGTTTGGGGAGAGATAAGTGGAGACCAGAAACCCTGGAAAGCTGGGGGCAGGCAGGGGTGTCACATAAGTAGGAGGAGGGGCAGGCCCAGAAGAGGGGCAGGGAGGTGACAGGAGCCTTACCTGCCGTCACTGAGTTCTCTGGGCCTGTGGGGAGAGAGTTGTTTCTGTTAGCGTGGAGGCCTCCTGGCCTGGCAGCCTGGCCCCATACCATGCAGTGAAGGTGGTAGAACAGCAGGCTCAGAGGCCAAGGGCTAAGCCAGGCTGATCTTGGCATGTTCTTGCTCAAGTCTAAATGATGTTCATATGCAAAGCTCCCTGCTCCAGGAAAAGGGTAAGCTGGAATTGTACAAAGTACTTAGGTCACTAGAGACAAGGTGTAGAGTCCCCTCCTCATCTCAGAGCTCAGCAGAAGGTCGGCAGGGAGCAACCAGGGAGACATCCCCAATGTTCAGCGGAAGTCCCTCTGCCCCTTACTCAAGCCCCGCCCACTCCAACTGGGCTCAGAACTAATCAGCGGGGATTTGCTGCTCAGCCCAAGCAACCCCCCAACCAGAAGGCTGTGCTGGATGCCAGGAGACAGACGGAGGAAGAGAAAGGAAATCCAGGCCCCTCCCACCCCCAGCCTGAGCCTCAGCCCACGGGCCCAGGTGGCCACCATGGGGACCTCTGTAGCCAGGCAAGGAAGAGTCCCACACTCACTGATGAAGAGTTGCTGGATGCGAGAGAAGCCACTGCCAGGCCCACCCAGGAGGATGCTGACTATGATCCAGGTGAGAGCCACGGTCACAATCAGGGCCACGATGCGGAGGGGGCCTGGAGGCAGGACAGACAAGGCAAGGCCACCTCAGATGCCAGTGAGCTCCAAATGGTCCCAGGGCCTCTTGCGACCAGATCTCCCCATCCACATGGGATGAAGTGACTGAAGGACAGGAAGGTGGAGACCTGTGGCCGGCCACCGGCCGGAGGGGCCAGCTCCAAGGCTCTCAGCTTGGTTTCCCCCGGGGCGGGGACCTTCCAGAACTCGCTGCTCGAGAGGGCTCTCACACTCCCCCAGGAGCACCCACCCTCCTGCCTGAGGCTGCCGATATTTGTGATCCACCCATCACATCCTCTTTTTCTCCTGTTGTGATGGAGGAGGAGGTCCCTAGTCCTTTTGAAGACCAGTCCCTTCACCTGCTGTGATGTGGATCCCTAACTCTCCTCCTGCTCAGGTTTCTTGTTTTTTTTTTTTTTAATTTTTTAAAAAATTGATTTCAGAGAGGAAGGGGGGGGGGAAAGAGAGATAGAACCATCAATGATGAGAGAGAATCATAGATCGGCCGGCTCCTGCATGCTCCTCACTGGGGATTGAGCCCGCAACCCAGGCATGTGCCCTTGACCAGAATCAAACCCGGGACCCTTCAGTCCGCAGGCCGATACTCTGCCCACTGAGCCAACTGGCTAGGGCCCTGCTCAGGTTTCTTGTAATAGCAATCATCCCATCTCTGTCTTTCTCTTCTATTTTCAACATCTCTCCTCCTGCCCTAGCTGGTTTTTCTCAGTAGTTAGAGCGTCGGCCCGCGGACTGAAAGGTCCTGGGTTCGATTTCAATCAAGAGTGTGTGCCTCGGTTGCAGGCTTGATCCCTGGCCCTGGTTGGGGTGCGTGGGGGAGAAAGGCAACCAATTGATGTCTCTCTCTCTCTCCCCCCATCCCTTCCTTCCACTATAAAAAATATCCTTGGGTTTAACAAAAACAAACAAAAAAAAAGCTCGGCTGGCATGGCTCAGTGGTTGAGCATCCACCTATGAACCAGGAGGTCACGATTTGATTCCCGATCAGGGCACATGCTCGGGTTGTGGACTCGATCCCCAGTGTGGGGCATGCAGGAGGCAGCTGATCAATGACTCTCTCTCATCATTGATGTTTCTCTCTCTCCCTCTCCCTTCCTCTCTCAGAAATCAATAAAAATATATTAAAAACAACACCCAAAACAACAACAACAAAACCCAAGTTGTTTCCAAGGCCACCTATGACATTCTTGGTGTCAACTCCCCGGGTCACTTGTCAGCCCTGATCTTTCTGGACTTCTCAGTTGACTGCCCAGGCCCTCCTGCTGAAAACAATTCCCTGCTGGCTTCCAGAACAACACACGCTGGCCCATCCTCATTGCTTTATCCTCCTCCTCTACCCTCCCCTGAAAAATCTAGACTTTCCCAGGCTTCTGTCTCAGGCTGTCTTCTCTGCCTACTCTACTCTTCTTCCTCTACCCTCCATATAGGTGCTCTCACCTACTCCCCGCCTTGAATCAACCCCCCAGGGAGCAGTGGCACTCTATTTTTCTTGCCCCAGCCTTGAGGCTACACCCTCCCAGCCAGTTCCCCGCTGGCTCGCTCCACTGGAATGCATTCATAATGTTGCAACCTTACCAGATATGAGCTCTAATTCTTGAGTTCTGCTTTCCCCCAAGCGGTCCCTCCCTAATCCACGGGTTATCCAGCTGACAGCAGGGCTAGCACCAGAGGTTCATATTCAACCCCACAGCCACTTGGGTCAGTTTCTCCTTTAAGACCACTACCTCTCCACCCAGTCTCTGTGCTCCCAGGAGCCTCTCTCCCACAACTTTTTTTCCGAACAGCAACCAGTTGCCCGAGGTGGTAGAAATTCACTATCCTAATCCTCATCTCACAGCTCGGGGAGCTGAAATGCTCGCAAGTGAAAGGATTTGTTCAAGGTCCTGGAATGAATGCTTGTGCATAGTCCTCCGTTTGCAAAAGCAAACCCAGCGGTCCACCTGGGCCCCTCCAGCTGCAGTCCCCTGGACACCTGGGCCAGCCGGGTCTCCTTTCCAACTTCCTCCTGTTCACTGTGGAAGCCACCCACCTGCCAACCTCATGTCCACGTCTCCCGCTGGGTTGGGGTCGCCGGCAGGTGAACTGTTTGGGGACCGTGCGCTCTGGAGGCAACAAAGAAGAGCAGGTTTGGGTGGGGGTCAGGGATGAGCCAGAGCTGGGCTCCTGCGGCGGGACGGGCGCGATCGGTACACCGACTTGTTCATCCACCTGGCCAGGCTCCGGGGAACGCGGAGAGAAGCCCTGTCGGGACAGGAGGGGTCTCGGAAACGCGTTGGCTCGAGGTCGATCGTGCCTGCGGAGCCTCTGGGACTGGGAAATGAAAGTGGTTCTCTCGGACGCAGGCCCCTCCCCTGGGAGGC